CGATCGCATGCTGCCCCGCCCCGCTGCCCTGAGTCTGCACACGGGAGGCCCAGATGGCGGCAGGTGGGAGGCGGATTGTGCTGCCCCGCCCCGCCTGCAGTATGCAAATTTAATGGTCATCTTTGTTGGGTTAATTTGCATACACTTTTGATTGGCTGGTGGGCGTGGTGAAGGTACGGTCAATTAGCATCTTTGTCTTTTATTAGTGTAGATATGGACTAGAGGCCCAGTGCATGAAATTCGTGCACTGGGGGGTTGGGTGTCCCTCCATCCAGCCTGCAGCCTTTCCCATCTGGGACCCCTTGGGAGATGTCCGACTACAGTCAGACATCCCTCTCACAATCTGGGACTGCTTGCTCCCAACCACTTGCCTGCCTGCCTGCCTGATTGCCTCTAACCACTTCTGCCTGCCAGCCTGATCACCCCCTAACCACTCCCCTGCCCAACCTGATCAACGTCTAACTGCTCCCCTTCCAGCCCGATTGCCCCCAACTTCCCTCCCCTGCTGGCCTGGTCACCCCCCAACTGCCCTCCCCTGCAGGCCATCTTGTGACCACATGGGGGCAGCCATCTTTGACCACATGGGGGTGGCCATCTTGTGCAAGGGCATGATGGTCAATTTGCATATTACCTCTTTAGTATATAGGATTCATATATATATAATTTTTTTTTTTATTTCAGAGAGAGGAAGGAAAATGGAGAGAGAGATAGAAAGATCAATGATGAGAATCATTGATCTCCTGCCTCCTGTACGCCTTCTACTGGGGATCCATTTGCAATGGAGGCATGTGCCCTGCAAATCTCATGAGTTGCTCAGTCATACAGTTAGTTTTGGGAACACTGTGACTGTTAGATGGATCCCCACTCCCAGTCAGGCCAGGGCTGTCTTGCATCTTTATCACTTTCAAATACATTAACCCCCACTTTATTTTTCCAGGAGCTGTTGTAAGCCTTTGAGGGACTGCACAGCCAGCAGCTCTGTTGACTGTGGATGGTTAGCAGGGTCCCCCCCAACTGCCCTCCCCTGCCGACCTGAAGGGTTTGGGTGCAGGAAGTGGGCGGTAGGGCCCTGCTGTGTGCCTGCGGCACAGAGGTAGGTGGCTGAGTCTGAAGGCTGGGAAGCTGTGATATAAAAGGAGCTCTGTTTGATGGTGGTATCAAAGGTGGCCCTCAGTCTTCCTACCAGTTTTGTTCGCTCGTTTTCACGTATTAATAGCAAGAAGATGGGGCCTCTTCCTGGATCTTGTCGGTACCACTGGAAGAACACTGGAGAATAATTTGCATAGCTGCAGGTCAGAATAGCCTTTTCATTCTCCTGGATGCTCAAGGACTGAGGATTCTGTTCCATTTTTTGGCTGCTCAACCCTAGGTAGAAACACAATGCCAGGAAAAAAAGGTTTCGTCACTACACGGAGTCATTTTTTTCTTCCCACAACCCCAGATATAACCAAAGAGTCAGCAGAATGGATCCTGGCCCTTTCCCCACCATCCAATGGGCTATGTCCCTGGATCCCTCTGTCCTCATCACCAGGAAGACTCCAACTCACAGTCCACTGAAAGCCACAAAATCACCAAAAGAACTCGCAGAAACAGCCCCATTCTTCTCTCCAACTAGGACCTAAAATGTGGATGCAGTCCCTCATTCAAAAAGCCATTCTCTCTAGTTTGGTGGGTGTTACTCAGGTTATTCTTTCTGGGAGGAAGTCTCTGTTCCCTAACTATCCAATCAGTGACAAGCCTGTTCAGTCTTTCACACACTTCAAAGTGAACTTTGTTTCAAATCTGAGGAAGGATCTGAAGAGATAGGAAACACTGCCATCTTCTGTTCAAAAGGTTTTTATAATACAGTAATGGAATATGCTGTAGAGCAAGCTTGTCAAACTCAAAGGCCAACATGGGCCTAATAAACAAGATTTAAGTTTATGTGGGCCACAAAAAAACAAAAGCTTCAATTTTCATAGAAACGTAAGTTTATTTTGATAGAGACATGCTGAATACAAAGGGATGAAATAAATGAGTAATCATTAACATAAAATAATAGAACATTTTAATAAAAATTAATATTTTTTTCTTTAACATTAACTTGCCAGACACTGAATAACTGCACAAATTAATGTGTAACGCAAATAAACCTATTTTTCTTATTCTCCAAAAGTGAAATATTTCCCATTGCAGACACCAAACAAGTCAGTCCTAGACTAATAATGTGGCAATCGGCTGCTAAAATATGTGCTGCTAGTATTAGTGGAAAAAAAAATGGTGCACCTGTGCGTAAGGCCTGTAAGGGAAACGAATGCAACACGATTATAGTAATCAGTCATTAGTGAACGTTATAGTTCGTTATTAACAACTAGAGGCCCGGGCATGAATTTGTGCATGGGTGGGGTTCTTCGGCCTGGCCAGCAATCAGTACTGATCGGGGCCGTCTCACCCAGTCCCAATTGGGGCTGATTGGGGTCGGCCAGATGAGGGGAGGGACCGCAGGAGGTTGGCTGTGGGAGCACACTGACCACCAGGGGGCAGCTCCTGCATTGAGCGTCTGTTCCCTGGCGGTCAGTGCGCATCATAGCGACCGATCGTTCAGTCGACCAGTCGTAATGGTCACTTAGATTTTTATATATATACTAGAGGCCCGGTGCACAAATTCATGCACCAGTGGGGTCCCTCTGCCTGGCCTGCAGGATTGGGCTGAAACCAGCTCTCTAACATCCACCAAAGGGTCCCGGATTGCAAGAGGGTACAGTCCAGGCTGAGGGAGCCCACCCGTGCCGGGAGAGATGCGGAAGGTTGGTTAGCCAGGGAGGGACCACAGGAGGGCTCCAGGGCATGTCCGGCCCATCTTGCTCAGTCCTGATCAGCCGGACCCCAGCAGCAAGCTAACCTACTGGTTGAAGCGTCTTCCTCTTGGTGGTCAGTGCACATCATAGTGAGCAGTTGAGCGGCCTTAGCATATCATTAGCATATTACGCTTTGATTGGTTGAACTGCCGACCAGTCAACTGGACACTTTGCAGATTAGGCTTTTATTATATAGGATAGATTATGTATTACAAGATATTGTAAAAATTGAGTTACAAAATTTTTATTAAAACATTTCTTACATACCGTTATATTGGCTGGGCTGCAAAAATATTTGTTGTGGGCCGCATGCAGCCCACGGGTCATGAGTTTGACATGCTTGCTATAGAGCAATGCTTCTCAGACTTAATGTGCAGACAAATCACCTAGGGGTTTTGCTAAAATGCAGATTCTGTTTCTTTAGGTCTGAGTGGGGCTGGATAGTCTATATTTCCAGCAAGCTTATTGGTGATGTTGGTGCCGCTGGTTCTCAGGTCATACTTTAAGTAGTAATTGTAGAAGAATGCTTGTTGAGTCTCAGTAGTACATGGAAAAGGAATTGGCAGTATTAAGGTTTGATACAGGACAAATGATCAAGTATTCCAAGGTCTCCATTCCAATGCCCAGTCAAACTATTTCATTGTTCCCACAACAGTTGCCTGAGGATATCATGAGCAGTAGATAATGTAAAGCACAGGAGAACCCCTGGCTGAATTCCAGGAAATTTTCTCAGATCCAAGGAGTGAACCTCCTCTCTTCACTCATATTAGCCTCCCCACAGGTTGGAAAATTATATTTCAAAAGGTCTTTCTTCTAGATCCTATTGGGCTAGCACAGTAAATATTCTCTTTAAATCCAACAAGGACTTAAATCAGCACTTCATACAGAATGCTCTCTGAGATGCCCTGTAAATTGTTTTACAAGTACAACAGTTCTCTGATTGCTTATATCAGAATTTCTTTTTTTCTACTTTGCTGATACCAAGATGGATGTAGTGTAGTCATCTCCTCAAATATATTCAGGCCATTCTCTGACCTAAATAATAGAGGGTAGCTAGGTGACAGTCATCTAGGGACTACACGAATATATGGAAGAGAGGAAGAAGAGAATAGGCTAAAGTATGATGAGAAATAAAGCTGGAAGGAGAAGATTTTGAATGCCTGAGTTTGTAGGTTATTTATTAGCAAAAATACTACTGAGACTTTTGAGCAAGTGAGTGATATTATGAAAATAGAGCTCTACACATTTAAGCTGACTGCTTGTCCATAAGAGTAATTTGGGGTGGTAGGTTGATAGCCATTGTGTAGTGATCTTTTTTTTAGTCTTCACCCAAGAATACGTTTTATCGTTTTGTTTTGGTGGGGGTTTTTGTTTGTTTGGGGGGCTTTTTGTTGTTGTTGTTTTGAGAGAGAGACAAAAGGAGAGGGAGAGAGAGTGAGAGAGAGTGAGCAATGTGGGAGAGAAACATTAATCAGTTGCCTCCCATACACACATACACACCCCAACCGCGTATCAAACCTGCAACCTGGGTAAGTGCCCTGACCAGGAATTGAACACAAGATCTTTCGGTGTATACCAACTGAATCATACTGGCCAGGGCTGGAATAATCTTTAAAAGTTTGGGCTCCGGCCTCCAACTGATCTGGTTTTGAAACACAGTTCTTCCATTTAATCTCTCTCACTGAGCTTGAGCAAGCTATTTAATGTTTTCAAGCACCAATTTCCTTGTCTGTAAAATAGAGACACCATCAGGATATTATTAAGAGGACTACATAGACTACTACATACAAAATGCTTTGTATGTATAGTATACAAAAGTTCAGACTCAAAATCTGAACTATTAATATAGGAAAAAGAATACAATGGAAATTGCACCAGTTAGAAGGTCATTGCTGAGGTATAGGTGACTAAATCAGGATCGCTGAACTTCAGAGCTAGGAGGAATTTTAGAGAATGTAGAGAAAATGATGCATTAGAGAATGTAAATCAAAAAGATTCATATTTTAGAAAATATATAAAACAGTTTTAAAAGAGGACAATCACTACTTATCAAACAAGGATATACATTATTATAGGGACAGAAAACTTCCCTTCTTCCCTTCTAGGTTCTTTGGCTGACCTAATAATTAAATTGACATAAGACAGATTAACAGGAGAAAAACAAATTCTGTATGTATGGAACCCCCATAAAAATATGAGATTCCCTGGCAAGCAGGTAACTGTAACTTACTAGGATATACCAATCTGAGCTGAGAAGAAGGGGATAGGGATCTGGGGCTTCAAAAGGAAGGAAAATAATTAGCAAGAAGATGAGAAGAGCAAATATTTGGTAAACAAATCTTTGCCATGGCATGTAAATAAGTTTGTCTGATATAAAAAGTTGCCTCTGGTAATAGCTCTCTTTCTGGTACAGGCCCCCTATCTAAATTCTTTTAAGCAGTGAAGGGGAGTAAAAAGTTCTTCCTGAGTCTCCTGGGCCCTGGCTGTCTTCGGTTCAAAATAATCCCCACGTCAAAGCGGGACATTCTGGAGTGACATGTTCTGCTCCTCCCATTATCAATATCTTGGTGTATTACTTTCCAACCTTTACACAATTCATATTTTTACTAAGTAGCAATCATACTAGTTAATATCTTGAATCTTTTCAATTACCACTTTCAAATAGTCATTATAGATTCTCATAAATACCATTAATTTGCTATGTAATATTCCACTTGGATTATTAAGTCTTTCCCTTTAAGATTCAACATGTTGATTTTCATATAAATAACTTTTCAAATGTATTGCAAATAATTATTTTTTATGCATTGAGGGTTTCCAGAAAACAGATTCCCTAGAGAAAATTATAGCAAAGAAAATTAATGTTTATAGACTGTCAATTATTTTCCAAATTAGCTTACAAATTTACTTTTCCACTAGAATATCTCTATTTTGCTTCATCCTGTCCAAATTCCCTTTTTCTATTATTATTAAATTATTCCCATAATTCCTTAATAGGGTTTTTTAAGTTGTTGACATTTTTATGACTACATGTAGATTTAAACATTTTCCACATGTTTGTGAACCATGTTATTTTTTCTCCTGTGTAAATTGCCTCATATCTTTTGTATATTTACCTATTTAGATATTAATGTTTTTCTTTTTATGCATATACAAAAATTTATAAAAATTATTAATCTATTGTCAAATTAGCAGCAAAGTAACAGTATACTGCAGTTTGAATGTAATTTTGGTCATTTTTTCATAGAATAAATTAGCTTTTAAAGTTATGTAATCAAATTCTATTTTTCCTTTGATTTCTTCCATTGTTTTTAAGTTTAAACAGTTATTCTCCATTTAGTTACTTAATTAACATACACATTTTTTTACTAATAACTTTGTGATTTAGTAATTACAATCTCTCTGGAATTTATTTCATTACTAGAGGCCCAGTGCATGAATTCATGCATGGGTGGGGTCCAGCCGGCCTGCCCCAATGGGGGCTGATCAGACCGCTGGCCAATGGGGGGGAGGGGACAACCAAGGGCGGGACTGGCTGGGAGGAGGGCCAACGGGAGGTTGTGGGGGCCGATCAGGCCCTGATCAGGCTGGTTGGCCTCACCAGTGTGCATCATAGTGACCGGTCATTCTGTTTGTTCTGTCATTCCAGTCACTTGACTTTTATATATATAAATAGATAGATGTAAGGTATTTCATTTCTTTATTCAGCCAATATTTATTGATCACTTGGTGGTTTTGCAACACTTTTTTTCAATATTCAAC